TAAAGACCAGCCCCTATTCTGCTATACCCGAAGGTCTCCCATCAACAATCCCCGAAGGCCCTTATCGCAAGGGTCCCTCCTCTTCCCTCGCCTTTGACGAAATTGGCGGGAAACTGGTGTTGTCGCGAAGATGGTGCAACAGTCGATTTTGTAAGTGATTTTGAAGCTATTATTGCATGAAATTGTGTTTCAGAGTGATTTCGGATTGCGAGATGTCTTTGAGGGTTCATTAATGTGGGAGAAGTTCGTTCAGGAAGGATTAGAAGTGAGATAAAGGGAGTTGTATGTTTGCGATCCGAGTTGTTGTTGTTGTTTATTTCTTTTGCATAATGTTTTAGGGTCGTAAAAATGGATGAAATTTATTATTTGGATTGTCTGGGGAAGGTTTGTAGATATCTGGCGGGTTTGCTAAGTGTATTGCTTGTATCGGTAAATAGATTTGTTGTTTCTCTTATAGACAATATTGGTTCAAGGTAAAATTTGGAAAATTTACAGAGGATGACGGTCAGGATTTCCGAAAAAAAAAAAGAAAAAAAAATGTTTGGAATGATTAGATTGGCGTAAATCGAGACTCTTTTCATCTATGGCAAAAGATGTACAATTAGAAAATAAAGGAGATACGTAATTAGAGAGAGTGCGTAAAAAAAATCTTTTAGTATCTTTAAAGACCTACTGATATCCATTTCAATTATTCTTTTGGTGAATGATTCAATCTGCTGTTTTATCATGGCAAATAACTTAAGTTGAAGTTTGGGCAATTATTGCGAAGGAACTGCGAACCCCCCCCCCCTCGGATTCCTATTACTCCAGCTGGCTAAAGTTGCCGAGAGCGACGCACAGAGATAGGGGGAATGGACACTGCCATCTTATAGAGCTTAAAAAATATTCCATAACGATGTGGATACAGCAGCTGTGGCCATGTAGTTCCCATGAAATGAGGAAAAAATCCGCCAGATATTACGATTCAGATATGAAGTCCACAACACCCTCACGCAGCCATAGTTCTTAATGTCCATTTTCTTTAAGGTGGCACAAAATGCTAATAAATGAGGGTACAAGGGAATTTTTAGAAGGTAGGAAAGGTTAGGCTTGGGTTTTTGTGTTCACATGATACCCTGGTATTGACTGTATTAGGTCTTGTTTTTTTCTGTACGCCGGTTTACGGAAAGCCTGAAATTTCCCATATTACCACTGATGGTGTATAGTACAAGCTGTTTTTGCCCGCTGTGGGGGCATGGGTACTGAGGTCCAGTGTTGGGGATCACCCCTGATGTGGGCCTCAGCCTTCGGCAAAACTAATTTTGGTTAATCTTTATGGTATTGACACATTAAGTTAGGGCAAATTGAATATGATATTCTAGTTGAGGACAAAAAGTTAGTCTTTGGTGCGAGAAATAATTTGGAGACACAGTAGCGCCCCAAATAAAAGAAAAATATCGTGGAAAGCACCGTCCTCAGCCTAAGTATGCTCAGTGTACCTGAGTTTCAGCTCCATCTTGCCGTGCATACAGAGGTGAAGGCAATGTTTCCTGGGGGTTGTTGGGGGGGGGTAGAGCCTCCCATCAACTCTCCCCTCGGATAGTTGGGCACGCCCAGTCACGGCAATTTAGATTAATAAATTTTATGACATGTAGTTGGGGATTAGTCTGGTGAGTGCGTCCGTACTGTAAAGAATTACCCTAATTTTGCATGGCCCTTTCTTCTCCCCCTTTCCTTTTCCTTCAGCTCATCAACCCTTTTGTCCACATCTTACGGTGTTGAGCCATGTGTTATGTCAGTCTTCCCAACACATCTTTAGGCATGCCAGGGCTTCAATAAATTTTGTACCCTTATTAGGAGCTTGGCATCTAAATTTTTGACTTTACTAGTTCCTAGGCCTATACCTCCAACCAAGGCCATAACATCAGGCTTGAGGGTGGTGAGGGTGAGGGTGGATGGGTGAAGGGTGAGAGGGTGGAGGGGTGGGTGGGATTAAGGTGAAGGGGGGAAAAAGAGAGGAGAGGATGAACCTATGCAAGAAATATTTGTGGCCTGGTAAAGCTAGGACAGCTTCCTTATTAACAAGGCAGGTCTGCAGCTCTGTCTGACCAGAACATACATTAAAGAGATTTCTTGACTTATTAGTGTGTCCAGATCTTGACAATGTGCATGATATTACATATCTAGGAACTGATGGTCAGTTTGTGGGTGTACTTTCCATATGTGCATATTTGAATTGCACATATGTGCCATTCTGTTTCCCCATCATCATATACTTGAATGGTTTCTGTATACAACATTTCTGTGCATTTATTCATTTATATAGTTGGTAAATACTTAATATGTATATAGATATATAGTATATATCAGAGTTCTTTTTTCCAAGATTCATGATAATTCCTTTCCTTATTTCAACAGTAATGAATTTTAAAGATATTTCAACCTATATATATATATATATTATATATAATATATATATATATATATATATATATATATATATATATATATATTATTTATACAATACACATGTGTATAAAATTAAGTTAATGTTCTATCTATCTGTGTCTGGTGGGGACTGGGACATTTTGAAAAGTATTTCAGTAATGTGTTTTACCCTCTATCCTTCTTGAACAGGTCATTCTTCTCTGCACCAAAGGCCAAGAAACCAGCTGCAGAAGCCGACAAAAAATCCAAAGATGATAAAAAGTAAAGTGTAGTTCTGTGATTTACGTAATATTTTTATACTGAATGTAAACAAGTCCTGTGTCAGATGTTGCTGTAGATTAACAATTTTAATCACAACTATTTTAGGAAAGAATCGTCAGAGGTGGAAGACTCACCAGTCAAACGCACACCTCGACGCAAGACAGCTGTAATTGAAAGTGACAGTGAGGATGAAGATGTCCCATCTACAAGGTATGGATTAACTTGTAAATTCTAATTTTGTGTTTCCTCTCTACATTTATGAGAATTAGTAGTATAGTCTAGAAGCTTATGCATCAAAAATATTTTAGATATTTTTTCTTCATTGTCTATAATCAAGTAGTTTAAATCACCTCCTTAAAACATTAATCAATCAGGTTGTTATTATCGTTATTTATTATTGTTATTGTTATTGTTATTATTATTATATATAGATATATGGATAGATATAGATATATATAACAAGATCTTTTGCACCTTTTGGACTGCCTAACTCTAAATTCTCCTGTCTGATATAAAATTTTATATTTCTGACAAAGCAGTAAGATTTTGCGTAGTGAGTTGGATTTTTTTCTTTATTAGAAAATATTATAGTGTATCCAAAAAAGGTCTTTTTTGGGGATTTGTTGAGATGAAATGTTTCAAAATTGGATTTAAAAAAGGAATTGACCTGCTTTTACTATTTTATTGTAGTTTATGCCTATTTAATTAAATTCCCAATTTGTTGCTAAAATAACAGAGGCATACCAGGAAGGTATTATTAAGAAAAAATTGAGGGTGGGTGATTTTGTGCTTGGATTATGCACATTATTAATACACAGTATGATACAATTCAGAAAATTTTAAGAGTGTTTTTTGTGAATCTCAGTAGCTTTAATATCAAGTCTTAAAGAGAATGTATTAGTCTTACTCAACATGAATTCCACAATGTTTTTAATGTATGTGCTTTGCAGTTTCCCTTCTGGGATGACACCTAGATCTGGCTCCCTTAATAGACCAAGTGTATTTACCTGCCAGTGTATATACATTTATTACATTTTTTTTGCATGTTTTTTTTTTTCTCGGCAGTAGCCCATCCAGCAAGTCAGATGAAGAGAAAGAGAACAAATCAAAGGAAACCCCAAAGAAAACCAGTGAAAATTGTGATGAAGATGATAGTGACGAGAAAGCTGAGAAAGACTCCTCTTCAAAAGCCAAGAAGACGCCAAAGGAGAAGAAGGACAACAGAAAGGCCAAGGGAAAGAAAAGCACCCCTGCCAAAGAGAACAAGACCCCAGTGAAAGAGGAGAAAGAAGACGCAGAGAAAATGGAGGTAGAAAATGACGAAAAGGAGACGTCTGAAGCATCCAGCTTCAAAACCCCAAAGAAATCAGACAAACCAAAAACAAGAGCCTCGCCTGGATTTACTCCTGATACAGTTCCCCCTCTTCGTAAAACTGGTATGGTGTTTTCATGTGATTGTACCATTTTAACTTGGTTTTATATTTTTCATGTAACTAGATTTTGATATATGTAATGTAAAACTTTTTTTTATTGATTTTAGAAGAGATTGATTTATGATTATGTTAAATTGATAGTATTTTTTATATCATTGTTATATATAGATCATTTATTTAATTATATATGTAAGCCTGAAGATACAAATTTAATGTAACATTTTTCAGCAAGGAAACAGATGAAGCGAAAAAGTGATAGTATGGAAGAAAAGCAGAAAGAGATAGTCAAGAAAATCAAGGTAGAAGAAAAAGAAAAGGAAGAGGCAGAGGCTATGCAGGAGGAAGAGGAAGATGAGGAGTCTGAGAAGGACAAAAAAGCTGATGTTGGAAAGGCCAACATAAAGGAAGAAGGGAAAAAGCAAAAGGAGGAGGAAGATGAGGAAGAAGAGATGGATGTGGATGATTCAAAGGAGAAAGAGACAGCTGAGAAAAAGAAACCAACTTCAATCCATAGCTTCTTTTGTAAGTATTTTTTACCATTGTTAGAAAACAAAGGATGTTTGGTTTTTGCATTACAGCACCAAATTATAATAATTCCAGAAACCTATAGGTGATTTTCTAGCATTTAAAAAATAAAACATCTACCTAGATGTACATAAACATGCATGGATGAGGAGAGAATTTTTCAATAGGATATTTTGTTTTCTGTGAGCATGATATCAGTAAATTCTTTTTCAAAGATTAGTATTTTCCTTTTTCTATAACAGCACCAAGATCCTCCAAGTCTACCCCAGCAAGTACAAGTGTTAAGAAAGAAAAAGAGATAAAGAAAGAGAAGAAAAGCCCAGGCAGTCCAAAAGCCAAAAAGGAAACCAAATC